TCACACATAAACCTCCTTATATCTTCCTCAAAACAACCACCACCATACCTACCTATTATGGCATTTCCATAGCCATTCCGAGATATATTGCCATGCAACTTTCCACCATTCCGTTTATCATGACACATTCATCATTGTCATATTTGCTTAGCATGATCATGTAGTTGACATAGTATTTGTGGCAAAGCCACTGTCCATAATTCTTTCATACATGTCACTCTTGGTTTATTACATATCCCGGTACACCGCCGGAGGCATTCATATAGAGTTATCTTTTGTTCTAGCATCGAGTTGTAATCATTGAGTTGTAAATAAATAGGAGTGTGATGATCATCATTTTCTAGAGCATTGTCCCAAGTGAGGAATAAAAAAAGAGAGAAAGGCCATAAAAAGAGAAGCCCAAAAAAAGGAGAGAAAAAGAGAGAAGGGACAATGTTACTATCCTTTGCCACACTTGTGCTTCAAAGTAGCACCATAATCTTCATGATAGAGAGTCTTTTGTTTTGTCACTTTCATATACTAGTGGGAATTTTTCATTTATAGAACTTGGCTTGTATATTCCAACAATGGGCCTCCTCAAGTGCCCTAGGTCTTCGTGAGCAAGCAAGTTGGATGCACACCCACTTAGTTTCTTTTGTTGAGCTTTCATACATTTATAGCTCTAGTGCATCCGTTGCATGGCAATCCCTACTCCTTGCATTAACATCAATCGATGGGCATCTCCATAGCCCATTGATTAGCCTCGTTGATGTGAGACTTTCTCCTTTTTGTCTTCTCCACATAACCCCCATCATCATATTCTATTCCACCCATAGTGCTATGTCCATGGCTCGCGCTCATATATTGCGTGAAAGTTTATCGGTTTGAGATTACTAAAGTATGAAACAATTGCTTGGCTTGTCATTGGGGTTGTGCATGATGAGAGCATTATTGTGTGACGAAAATGGAGCATGACTAAACTATATGATTTTGTAGGGATGAACTTTCTTTGGCCATGTTATTTTGAGAAGACATAATTGCTTAGTTAGTATGCTTGAAGTATTATTATTTTTATGTCAATATGAACTTTTATCTTGAATCTTTCGGATCTGAATATTCATACCACAATTAAGAGGAATTACATTAAAATTATGCCAAGTAGCACTCCGCATCAAAAATTCTGTTTTTATCATTTACCTACTCAAGGACGAGCATGAATTAAGCTTGGGGATGCTTCATACATCTCCAACGTATCTACAATTTTTGATTGCTCCATGTTATATTATCTACTGTTTTGGACATTATTGGGCTTTATTATTGACTTTTATATTATTCTTGGGACTAATCTATTAACCGGAGGCCCAACCCAGAATTACTGTTTTTTTTGCCTATTTTAGGGTTTCGAAGAAAAGGAATATCGAACGGAGTCCAAACGGAATGAAACCTTCGGGAACGTGATTTTCTCACCGAACATGATCCAGGAGACTTGGACCCTGTGTCAAGAAATAAAGGAGGAGGCCACGAGGTAGGGGGCGCGCCTACCCCCCCCCCCCCAAGGCGCGCCCTCCACCCTCGTGGGCCCCCTGTTGCTCCACCGACGTACTCCTTCCTCCTGTATATACCTACGTACCCCCAAACAATCAGATACAGAGCCAAAACCCTAATTCCACCGCTGTAACTTTCTGTATCCACGAGATCCCATCTTGGGGCCTGTTCTGGAGCTCCGCCGGAGGGGGCATCCATCACGGAGGGCTTCTACATCAACACCATAGCCCCTCCGATGAAGTGTGAGTAGTTTACCTCAGACCTTCGGGTCCATAGTTATTAGCTAGATGACTTCTTCTCTCTTTTTAGATCTCAATACAATGTTCTCCCCCTCTCTTCTAGAGATCTATTCGATGTAATCTTCTTTTTGCGGTGTGTTTGTTGAGACCGATGAATTATGGGTTTATGATCAAGATTATCTATGAATAATATATGAATCTTCTCTGAATTCTTTTATGTATGATTGGTTATCTTTGCAAGTCTCTTCGAATTATCAGTTTGGTTTTGCCTACTAGATTAATCTTTCTTGCAATGGGAGAAGTGCTTAGCTTTGGGTTCAATCTTGCGGTGTCCTTTCCCAGTGACAGTAGGGGCAGCAAGGCACGTATTGTATTGTTGCCATCGAGGATAACAAAATGGGGTTTTTATCATATTGCATGAATTTATCCCTCTACATCATGTCATCTTGCTTAAGGTGTTACCCTGTTTTCATGAACTTAATACTCTAGATCCATGCTGGATAGCGGTCGATGAGTGGAGTAATAGTAGTAGATGCAGGCAGGAGTCAGTCTACTTATCTCGGACGTGATGCCTATATACATGATCATACCTAGATATTCTCATAACTATGCTCAATTCTGTCAATTGCTCAACAGTAATTCGTTCACCCACCGTAAAATACTTATGCTCTTGAGATAAGCCACTAGTGAAACCTATGGCCCCCGGGTCTATCTTCATCATATTAATCTTTCAATATCTTTGCATCTTTATCACAAAAACACCAAAAAATATTATCTTATCATATCTATCAAATCTCACTCTCGTAAGTGACCATGAAGGGATTGACAACCCCTTATCGCGTTGGTTGCGAGGAGTTATTTGCTTTGTGCAGGTACGAGGGACTCGCGCGTAGCCTCCTACTGGATTGATACTTTGATTCTCAAAAACTGAGGGAAATACTTATGCTACTTTGTTGCATCATCCTTTCCTCTTCAAGGAAATCCAACGCAGTGCTCAAGAGGTAGCAGGGCGCGACGAGGCCCACCATGCGATCCGGCCGCAGCCTGAGGTGTAAGCAAGGAGCAGAAAGGCGGCGTACCCCTGGTTGCGGCATCCAACAGCTTGGCAACACGCTCTAGCAATGCATCCCGGCCGCTCTCCATCAGTCGGCATCGCAGCACCTCCCGCGCCACTGTGAGCGCGGCCCTCATGTTTGCTTGTTCCCGTCGGGAGTGCGTCGTCGTCGCCGCGGCGTAGCTTGACGCCCTTGCGGCGGCCCGCGCGCGCCGCAGGGTAAGGGTGGAAGGCGTCTGACCATGCCGCCCGCGCCCCGTGGCGTTTGGCGGTGCGCGTGCCGCCTGGAGCGCGGAGTTGAGGTCTTGTTGGGCGAACGATGCCGCCCGGGCTGGCCAGGCTGCCCAGCGGTCGGCGTCGGCCCTCGGGTCGTCGGACATCGGCGCTGCAGAGCCTTGGCGGGTCTGCTGATGAAAGAGAGGCTTCGGCGCAACCCTACCTGGCGCGCCAAATGTCGGATTTCGAGTTCCGGCAAAACCCTTGAGGTTCGAACTCTGGGGTGCGCACGAAGATTTCTTCCCCTAGCTCACGCTCTCACCGCAATCTCAGAGCTAAGCGCGTCGAACTCGCAGAACAAAGGGGCATAAGATTTATACTGGTTCGGGCCACCGATGTGGTGTAATACCCTACTCCAGTGTGGTGTGGTGGGCTGCCTCTTGGGCTGAGGATGAACAGTTACAAGGGAAGAACAACCTCCTGAGGAGAGGTGCTCTTGTGCTTGGTGAGTTTATGTGGATGAGGACGATCTGAATGGCCTTAGATCAGTTTGGATCCTCCTTCCTACTGTGGTGGCTAGCCCTATTTATAGAGGCATGGTCCTCTTTCCAAATGCTGGCGGGAAGGGATGCCACAACGGCCAAATTTGAAGAGAGACAACTAGTATAAATTATCCTGACTAAAGGTGGTCTTCGCCTGCCAAAGGCTCTGGTGGTGAGGCCGTCCTGGGCTCCACGGTGACCTCCGTCCTGCCGTCCTGCTGGTCTTGGTCTTGTTGCACCGATATGGAAACCTTTGCCTGATGCCTCGGGACTCCTCGCCTGCACCTGTCCCTTTAGCACCAAAGAGGAAACGAGGACACTGCACGCGCTGGCGCTCGCCTGGTGCCCGCCTGGCCTTGGTCGTCATGGCTTGCGTCACACTGCGCGCGTTGGCGCCCGCCTGGCCTTGGTCGTCATGGCTTGCGTCACAGGGACCTCGCGAGGTGCCCCTTGCCTTGATCTCTCCGCCCCTCGCGAGCCAGCCTGATGAGGCTGCCCCAAGGAGGCCTTGCGTCGTCCGCCTCGCAAGAGTCTTGAGTGTTGCTGATAAAGATGAGTCTTGAGTGTTTGCTGATAAAGATAAGACATATGAGGCCGCTGGAGGAGCCACGCCATGGACCGCAGGCAGACAAGTCTGGAGACCCCGTTTCCAGGATGCCGACACTATTAATGCTTTCTATATCAAAGGATATATAAAAGGTAAATATTGCGCCAGCATGACTACAATAGTCAAACACGGCACGACCCTGGTGCAACAAGTTTACAATTCGGCTCAGACAAAAGAATAAGTCACTATTTATATGGCCTGGGAGAATCCCATCCAAGTGTCGCTGGGCATCACAAACTCTCTAAGCATCTATAGGATCCATGGCATCATACCTATTGACCAGTAGGATTTACTTGCTCATTTCTTACCCCTCAAAATAAATGCTCATTTCTTGTATACTAGGCATGCTCACAAGTGGGCTTCTTTCCAAGCCGAGGAAGAACAAGGTGCTTGTCATGCACAATTTTTCTCACAGTTTTTAGAATTTTATATATGAATTTTCGCCAACTTACAAATACCTGTAGTTCACATGAACCCAAGAATTAGATCATAATCTTCAGCATAAATACTGGCCTCCCGTGGAGTGGACAGCTGCAACCCCATAAACAATTTTAAGTTTGGAACGTTTTCAAAGTCTGGAAACTGTAACAAGATCCACTCTACATTGACACTGCATTAATTAATCCCCTCGAAAACAGAAAGAAAAAATGACTAAACTGGCACTGCATTTGGGCATGTATGCGGACAGGTACACAAGAACTCAAAACAGTGAGATCCCATTCTATTCTGTCGCGCGGTCTATTGGCAATAGACACTTGTTTTCAGCTGACAGAGAGCTTGCTGCATCCTCATCTGCTGAAATCTGCATCCTCCCTTCACTAGTCGATGGGCACTTCCACCTCCATCTTCAGGCCAGGGTGGTCGATGATCTGGAACCACGTCACAATAGTAGTTTAGTTTCGCTTCACCATCAGCAGTACAGAACAAGAGCAATATACAATCAAGAAATGCCGTAGAACTGTAAATATAGTTTACATATGAGTACTGGTAGACACACTGGATAATACTACAACCGCAAAAGCTATGCTTTTCTTCAATTCAGATGAATCTTACCACAAAAGCTTTTAACCATTTATGCCACTAGTTGTGTTCCACTACTCAGTTTTGCCATTAGAAGTTACAACTGCTCAAAAATGACATCGTTCTTTGAGACGCTTGCTCAAAAATGCCATTAGAGACCTAAAAAATGCCATTGTTCTGTTAGATGTTCGCTCAAAAATGTCATTAGACACCATTCTGTCAGGCCAAACCTGTTGACCATGTCATATGACCAAAATACCCCTAGACCCACATGTCAGCTCCATCTATCTCACAAGACAAGTGTTGGCCCCACTTTTCAGGAGTAAGCAGGCAAATAATATTAAAGGAAAATAAGAACGATGTCCGGGATCGAGTGGGACCCACACTTAATCATACTGAGATAGAGGGAGAGCTGAAACGCGGGTCCATGGGTATTTTGGTCATATAACCTGTTATACGGGCTTTGAGCTGACAGTAATGGTGTCTAGTGGCATTTTTTAGCAAGCGCCTAAATGAGTGATGGCATTTTTTAGCAGGTTAAACTTCTAGTGGCAAAACTGAGTAGTGGGACACAACTAGTGGCATAAATGATAGAAGTCAGATGAATCTAAACACAAAAACTATGCTTTTTTCAATTCAGATGAATTTGCCATAGCATTACAGCTATGATAAGAAAGGTAAGCAATGTTTAGCTTTGTACCGTTACAAAATCTTCTAATGATAGAGTGGAATCCCGTGTGTACCCAGCTTCTTCCAACACCTTTGTTAGTACTTGCTGAAAGGCATCAATTCAAATCGTGTTAATTTGAGATTGTACTGCTGTACATAAGCTTGAACAAAACATTATGCATTATGCAAAGCAATACTGACATGTTAAAACAAAAGCAATACTGAAACTATTCCCTACGAATATTCAGAGACAATACTGATCTCAGGCTAAGTCTTGTGGATGTACAAATATCATAAAATCTGGATATTGTTTAGCTTTTATAATATAAGGATGGGTTCCACACAAACTATATTTTTTATCTAATGGTAAAGGGCTCTCCTCAACTGTGTACTATCAACTTAAAATTTTGCACTGTGAAGGAAGCTACTCTGAGCATTTGCTGCTAAGAAGGAACCTACAATTTAGTGTCAGGGCCCCCTTCATTCACTTGATGTGTTTATGATGGCAGGATACTAATTGTTTGAAGAGGAAACAAGGGAACAGTCACATTTGTTCCTGTTGATTTAGTAAGTGTACTATGCAATGAAATACAGGATTGAATCAAATGAGAACCTCTCTTTGTTGCTCTGACATGGATGAGCCCGTTAGGTCCCGTAAAACCTCCACCAGGTCCTTGAAGCTTACTTTCCCCTTGCCATCAATGTCATACACCTTAAATATAACTGCTCAATGAAACACAGACCAAATCAACACTGGACAAGCAAATTAGTCATCATAAGGATCAGAGAGACCCAAGCCAACATATACTCCTTTCAAGATAGATGGCAAAAAGGAGGAAAAGAAACATGACGAGCATTACACTCAATCTTTTGCTGAAGGCTGGCCCTTGCGCTGAAGGTAGAGAGAAAAGAAACAAATTCCTTGAAGTTCAATCCATCAACCATACGTAGCAACCTCTGCAAATAGAAGAAATGAAAGCTCAAAATCAGTCCCACGTCTATATTTTTTTTCGAATAAAAGGATTGTATTAATCAACGGAGATCATTACTGTGGAAGAAAAACAAACTACAAATCTTCAGTAGCAATGATCTATAAGGAGATTTTTGTAGTCTATGATAAGTTTTACTTGCCAAAAGCATATTATACCAGTCTTTGAACTTTGGTAAGTCTTTGTTTACAGAAAAATATGATTCCATTGGTATCCAATCAAAGATAGCTAGAGCCTTTTCCAACCGGATGTGGAAGATGCTTCCTTTCATAGAGATATTCAGGCTCCACATGTGTTAAACCATGGTAAAACTTCCTATGCCGATGGATTGCATACAGGTTCTGTGAGGCAATTGGCATACAATTTTCAGATACACCTAGCTCCTTGATGGAGTGTGGAAATCTAATTAGTTTTCCCCCATTATATTATGCTTACTTGCTGAGGAATTCCAAGTGATGTTCCAATCAGTACTAGTACATCTCTGTGGACAGAATTGTATACAATAAAACTAGGAAAGCAGTGTGTGTAATGCCAAGGACAGCACACAAGAACAAGATGGATCTGCTTCGTTTGCACGCACTAGTAGAGTCAATAAGTCAGCTGGAGCTGGCACGGAAGGGACAAAGCAAGCCAGAGAAGGAAATTCGCCGTCACCACGAGAGGAGGAGGAGGGGGGACGGACCTGGGAGAGCGGGTTGGTGGAGTACTCCGGGATGGAGAGGAACTCGTCCTCGGCGACGAAGCCCTTGGCGCTGCGGTCGAGCTGGCAAAATCGCTCGTACAGCGACACGATCTCCTGCTGCGAGACTTGGATTCGTTCGATTTGGGGGCAAAAAAAGACTCAGGAATCGATCAAATCACCGCCAAATCGAAAAGGGTATCGATGGGGATCGATGACATACATAGGTAGCTGCAGTGCTCCTGCACCTCCTCGATGTCGTACTGCGTCAGCATCGACGACGCGTTCCCCATCGCCGGGAGGCCTACCCGGTCGATCTGCTCCGACGACGACTCGCCCTCCCCTCTCTCCCTCGCTGTGTCAGTTAGGAGTGGGAGGAAGGAAGGGGATTGCGAAATTTCGGGTCGGTTTTTTCTGTATGAATGGGCTTATCTGGCGAACGTTCGCCACAGAAAATGCATCTGCGAACGTTTGTTAGGCAGTTTTCAGCGCATTTGGAGAAGAACCTGGATTTATTGATATGGGGCGTATTTGATTGCCCGCATTGATTTTGGCTGCATCGCGTATATTTCTCATATGGGTATGGCTAAGAAAAAACAACATATAAACCACCATCGGTATGTAGTTTGGTTGCTCGCATATAGGTTAGGTGCATGAGGAAACTAATTTTCACCTGTCGTTTGGTTGGCCATATTGTATTAGGCACACATATGACACGTTGTTTGGTTGCAACCTGCATAAGATGTTGTCACCACTTCTCATTAGTGGTGACCTTACCACGCACGATCTGAACAGTTTCACTCCTAGCTACGAAACAAATTACGGTTCACCCTAGCTATATCAAATAACAGAACACATTATTAAGAACCATATGGCTGAATAGGGGAAAGTCCATCATTGATGCTAACTAGATGGAAGTACATTCTCTTCATCTTGCTCTTCCACTTCTGATGATGCTGCTAGTTATTCCTCTTCCTCTTCTATTGTTGTTGTTTTTTCCTTTTCTTCTACTCCTGCTCTTGCTCTTCTTCTTTTTCTTCTTTAGATCCTTGTCTGACCTCCATTATCTCACATTGCTTATGCCCACTTCAGCTTTTTGTTCTTCCAGGCTTCATTGTCAAATGCCTCCACACCATGGCCTAAGCTCACAACATCATCAGGAGTCACATCTTCCTCCTCAGGCACAAGTTCATCACAATCCCATTGCAGGATCCAGTTATGCAGAATGCAACCAACAAGAACAAGCTTAACCTAAGTGGGAAAAGTGGGGAATGGATTTTGATCTAGATCTTAAACCTGTTCTCCAGAGCTCCAAAGGCCCTCTCAACAGTAACTCTAAGGCTGGAGTGTCTGAGATTAAACAGCTCTTGTGGAGTCCTAGGATAGTTCCTACCAGCGAACTCGTTCAGATGGTACCTGGTTTCTTGAAGGGTGGAAGAATACCTTGCCGACATGCATAACCAGCATCTCTTAGGTAGAACTTTCCATCGGGGATGTTGATGCCATCAAGATGAATCATGTTGTCACTAAGAATGTTAGCATCACGTGTTGATCCTTCCCAGCCAGCCAGCACATAGGTGAACTTCATATCGAAGTCAACAGTAGCAAGCACATTCTGGCTTGTGTAGTGCTTCCTTCCTATGTATGTTGCAGCTTGTGACCTCGGCACTCTGGCGGTGACATGAGCACCATCTATTGCCCCAATGCAATCCTGAAATGACAATACAAGATTATGTTAGTGCTCACCTTGATCAATACAGGTATATCAAGCCATGAAGTACAACTGTCAGTGCTCACCTTAAAGTATGGATACCATCTTGGGCTAGTGCGAATCTTGGTAGGAGTCCGGCTTGGTGACTTGATCATCTCTTCTCTGAGCTCCCCAATGTTGGGGAATGTAGTAATTCAAAAAAATCCTACGATCATGCAAGATCTATCTAGGAGAAGCATATCAACGAGACGGGAGAGTTTGTCCATGTACCCTCGTAAACCGAAAGCGGAAGCGTTATGTTAACGCGGTTGATGTAGTCGAACGTCTTCGTGATCCAACCGATGCAAGTATCGAACGTACGGCACCTCTGTGTTCAGCACGCATTCAGCACGATGATGCCCCTCGAGCTCTTGATCCAGTAGAGGGTCGAGGGAGAGTTCCGTCAACATGACGGTGTGGTCACGGTGTTGATGATGTGATCCGCGCAGGGCTTCTCCTAAGCACTATGACAATATGACCGAGGTGGTAAACTGTGGAGGGGGGCACCGCACATGGTCGAGGAACAATTGATGTGCCTTTGGGGCGTCCCCACCCCCGCATATAAAGGAGGAGGGGAGGAGGCGACCGACCTAGGGGCGCGCCAAAGGGGGGAGTCCAACTAGGACTCCCAATCCTAGTTGGACTCCCTTTCCTTTTCCGGAGGGTGGAAAGAGGGAAGGGAGAGGAAGAGGAGAAGGAAAGGGGGCGCCCCCTTCCCTAGTCCAATTCGGACTCCCTATAGGGAGGGGGCGCGGCCACCCCTTGTGGGCTACCTCCCCTCTCCCCTATGGCCCATGTAGGCCCAATATCCCCCCCCCCGGGGGGGGGAGGGGGTTCCGGTAACCCCTCGGTACTCCGAAAAAATACTCGAATCACTCGGAACCATTTTGATGTCCGAATACAACCTTCCAATATATGAATCTTTGCCTCTCGGCCATTTCGAGACTCCTTGTCATGTCCATGATCTTATCTAGGACTCTGAACAAACTTCGGTCATCAAAAACACAGAACTCATAATACAAATTGTCATCGAACGTTAAGCGTGCGGACCCTACAGGTTTGAGAACTATGTACACATGAGCAAGACAAATCTCCGGTCAATAACCAATAGCGGAACCTGGATGCTCACATTAGTTCCTACATATTCTACGAAGATCTTTATCGGTCAAACCACATAACAACATACATTATTCCCTTTGTCATCGGTATGTTACTTGCCCGAGATTCGATCGTCGGTATCATCATACCTAGTTCAATCTCGTTACCGGCAAGTCTCTTTACTCGTTCCGTAATGCATCATCCCGTAACTAACTCATTAGTCACATTGCTTGCAGGGCTTATAGTGATGTGCATTACCGAGAGGGCCCAGAGATACCTCTCCGATACACGGAGTGACAAATTATAATCTCGATCTATGACAACTCAACAAACACCTTCAGAGACACCTGTAGAGCATCTTTAGAATCATCCAATTACGTTGTGACATTTGATAGCACACAAAGTGTTCCTCCGGTATTCGGGAGTTGCATAATCTCATAGTCAGAGGAATATGTATAAGTTATGAAGAAAGAAATAGCAATAAAACTAAACAATCATAATGCTAAGCTAATGGATGGGTCTTGTCCATCACATCATTCTCTAATGATGTGATCCCGTTCATGAAATGACAACACATGTCTATGGTCAGGAAACTTAACCATCTTTGATTAACGAGCTAGTCTAGTAGAGGCATACTAGGGACACTCTATTTGTCTATGTATTCACACATGTACTAAGTTTCTGGTTATTACAATTCTAGCATGAATAATAAACATTTATCATGATGTAAGGAAATATAAATAACAACTTTATTATTGCCTCTAGGGCATATTTCCTTTAGTCTCCCACTTAAACTAGAGTCAATAATCTAGATTACATAGTAATGATTCTAACACCCATGGAGTCTTGGTGCTGATCATGTTTTGCTCGTGGAAGAGGCTTAGTCAACGGGCTACAACATTCAGATCCGTATGTATCTTGCAAATCTCTATGTCTCCCTCCTTGACTTGATCGTGGATGGAATTGAAGCGTCTCTTGATGTGTTTAGTTCTTTGTGAAATCTGGATTCCTTCGCCAAGGCAATTGCTCCAGTATTGTCACAAAAGATTTTCATTGGACCCGATGCACTAGGTATTACACCTAGATCGGATATGAATTCCTTAATCCAGACTTCTTCATGAAGCAGCTATGTACTCCGCTTCACACATAGATCCCACCACGACGCTCTTCTTGGAACTGTACCAACTGATAGCTCCACCATTCAATATAAATACGTATCCGGTTTGTGACTTAGAGTTATCCGGATCAGTGTCAAAACTTGCATCAACGTAACCGTTTACGACAAGCTCTTTGTCACCTCCATAAACGAGAAACATATCCTTAGTTCTTTTTAGGTATTTTAGGATGTTCTTGACCGATGGCCAGTGATCCACTCCTGGATTACTTTGGTACCTCCCTGCTAAACTTATAGCAAGGCACACATCAGGTCTGGTACACAGCATTTCATACAAGATAGAACCTATAGCTGAGGCATAGGGAATGACCCTCATTTTCTCTCTATCTTCTGAAGTGGTCAGGCATTGAGTCTGACTCAACTTCACACCTTGTAACACAGGCAAGAACCCTTTCTACGACTGATCCATTTTGAACTTCTTCAAAACTTTATCAAGGTATGTGCTTTTTGAAAGTCCAATTAAGCGTCTTGATCTATCTCTATAGATCTTGATGCCCAATATATAAGCAGCTTCACCGAGGTCTTTCATTGAAAAATTCTTATTCAAGTATCCTCTTATGTTATCTAGAAATTCTGTATTATTTCCAATTAACAATATGTCATCCACATATAATATTAGAAATGCTACAGAGCTCCCAGTCACTTTCTTGTAAATACAGGCTTATCCAAAAGTCTGTATAAAGCCACATTCTTTAATCACACTATCAAAGTGTATATTCCAACTCCGAGATGTTTGCACCAGTCCATAAATGGATCACTGGAGCTTGAACACTTTGTTAGCACCTTTAGGATTGACAAAACCTTCTGGTTGCATCATATACAACTCTTCTTCAAGATATCCATTAAAGAATGCAATTTTGGCATCCATTTGCCAAATTTCATAATCATAAAATGCGACAATTGCTAATATGATTCGGACAGAGTTAAGCATCGCTACGGGTGAGAAGGTATCATCGTAGTCAACTCCTTGAATTTGTCGAAAACCTTTCGCAACAAGTCGAGCTTTGTAGACAGTAACATTACGGTCAGCGTCAGTCTTCTTCTTGAAGATTCATATATTCTCTATGGCTTGCCGATCATCGGGAAAGTCTACCAAAGTCCACACTTTGTTCTCATACATGGATCCCATCTCAGATTTCATGGTCTCAAGCCATTTTGCGGAATCTGGGCTCATCATTGCTTCCTCGTAGTTCGCAGGTTCGTCATGGTCAAGTAACATGATGTAACACCCTCGATGCGACTATAGCTCCCACATGTCGAGGCACGACTTA